ATATATATATATATATATATATATATATATATATATATATATATATATATATATATATATATATATATATATATATATATGTTAAAATTATTTTTCCCATAAAAATAAAAAAAAGTCTTTTAATTTATTCTCAATGAGAGAAAGGGGTTGATAAATTCAAGTTGTATTTATATATTAGAATATTTTATGCATGTATATTGACTATTAGAACAAAATAGTATAATTTTATTTATATTTTAAATATTCATATTAAGTATTTTTGTAGGACAATATACATAAGTATTCTTAATAATTGGATTTACATATTAGAACTTGGAGTAATTTTTGAAAGGATAGATATGTAAAACTAAAAAGAAAATAAAAAAAATAAGAATAAGGAATAAAGAATAAAAGCAAAGGAAAAGCGCTTCGAATAAATAAACTAAAGGTGGTGGATGCCACCACGCGGAGCCCTAATCCCGTCCCTCGTCGATCGCCGTTCTGCTTCCTCGGCGACGCCCCCAAGGTGCGATCTCTTCCCCGCCATGATCCCTACTTGCCGATGCGTTCGTAGCCCAACACGATGTTCCGTGGAACTCGTGTTCGGACGGGTTTCTTCGTGGATGCTGGATTTGGATCCGCTCTGGTTTGGTTGTCGTCTTGCACCGAGGTTCTTGCGAGGTGCCAGGGGAGCGCTTGTGACCCCTTAGATCCTCTTGATGGGAAGTAGCAGAGAAGGATCGCGCCGGGAGGAGAGGATGAGAGGGAAGATCAAAAGCGGGCGATTCGAAGGCGTAAAATTAGATCCTTTCTAAATCGTGGTTTGAGATGGTGTTATGGTGCTCGTCGATCGCTGTTTGAGCCATAGAAGAAGTTGACCTACCTCTTTCCTGCGTTGAGGGTTAGATAAAATCTTTTAGTACTTATTCTACTTTTCCTGTGTGTGTACCGATGTGTTAGGCTTCTTTTATAGATGTGGGATTCAGTGTTGAAGGGAGAGTTGTGGGTTTTACTTGTAGTTTGAACCAGATTCTATCTGCATTTTGAAATCTGAGGTTGATAGCTTTGTGGAGGAAAATTTTCAAATGAATAGGATAAAAACTGATAATAAAGCAATGATTTGATGTCTGGGAGCTTGGATTATGGCACTAGCAGTGGCTTCTGCAATCTTGTGCCAGCCAAGTATGTTTAAGACAAGGATTAAATCTTCTTGTTGCAGTATCATTTCATTACTCTCTCTCTCTCTCTCTCTCTCTCTCTCTCTCTCTCTCTCTCTCTCTCTCTATTATATATATATATATATATATATATATATATATATATATACATACATATATATATATACATACATATATATATATATACATACATATATATATATATATACATACATATATATATATATATACATACATATATATATATATATACATACATATATATATATATATATACATACATATATATATATATATATATACATACATATATATATATATATATATATATACAACAAATTTAAATGGTATTATCACTGAGAAAGATTCAGACAGTCTGCCTGTACCTTTCTGTGCTTTTGTGATCATTTGTTATGTTCTGGGCTTATCCTTGTGGTGTTGTTTATTTTATCTAAAAGGTAGCATCCGTCCAGTGGTATTTTTGTCTTTACTGTAGGTTGGGATCCTTTTTGCAGCCAAATAATTATATGGGAAAGCAATTAAACTACTAATATACTGGAGGGATCTTTCAAACTTTAAGGTGACATTTTTAATGTTCCTGTACTGGAATCCTTATTGTTTACCTTTTGGTCTTTGAACAACTTCCTCTGCTTCATATTTGATTATCTGGATTTTCAGTTATGATTGGCGGCAAATTCTTAGGATAATCTGCCTTCTTTCCAAGTTCTCCTCACACTAATCCTTCTCTATCTTTTGAACTTCCGTTTTCTGATCAAATGCACATAGCTAGGTCTTGTGATTATAATCTTGAATATGAAGCTACATGGCTTAGTTTGTTTGCTGCAAGAAGGCTTCAACATAGATATACCAGTTAACTCATTTCTAGATATACTGCTGATATTGTCAGTTTTTTATTTGCTGTTATTATAAATCTTTACGATTAACCGACTTTGCTGACACAAGGTTTTTACAGCGATGATTCCGTTTATCAGGCCCAGAGAGGAGGATCATTCTAATAGATGCTTCTTTTGTGGAAATTGTTATGGTTCTTTAGGAAATAGATTATTTATACATGATCATGCATTCATGCAACCTTCAATTGTTTAATAAGATAGATTTAGGAATTGATTAAAGACAATTTTGTTGGTTTTGGAAATTACAATCAAGTAAATTTTTTCTGGACATGCTTTACAGATGAAGATAAATAAAATGGTCATCGTTTCAATTGACATTCTTAATTGAATTTGTTAATGATTATCCTTTTATGTGTTTTTCAGGTCATCCATGTGCTAAATATATGATTATAGCACCAGGTTCTTCCTTGCAAGGTCCATTCATTATGGAAATCTGATCCATATTTTGTCAACTGATATAAAGAAATGGAAGACTCAGGGATCTCAAGCTTTTGGGGACCTGTTACATCCACTACAGAATTGTGCGAGGAAAACTATGCCCATTCTTCATATATTGCAGAATTTTACAACACCATATCAAATATTCCTTGCATTCTTTTTGCACTTATTGGCCTTACAAATGCCCTTAGACAAAGGTTTGAGAAAAGATTTAGTGTGCTTCACATTTCCAACATGATACTCGCAATCGGGAGCATGATATTTCATGCCACATTGCAACATGTGTAAATTTCTTTGCTCATCTCTGAATTCTTTTTGCTTTCTGTGTCTTTTCATTTTATGTATTCTGTTTATATCGTTCAATCATACTAGTTACTCGCCTTGAAATATATTGGGTTCTGTAGCAAAATAATGTGTATGTTTGGCAGAAATCATTACTTCTTTACATGCATCTGCACCTGAGGCAGATAACATGCGAGTGAGCATCGTTTCTTCAATCTTTGAACAACATATGTGCACATCTAACGTTGCTATTTGTGTGCTTCTTGATGGTTAGCAAACACTCATCTGCATACTATCAGGACTTCTGGGGTTGGCCCTGGCCAAGCTATTGTAACTTCTGCAACCACAGCATTTTGTGGGGTTGCTTGTGTTTTTTGTGGTCGCTCATAATAAAAGCCTAATAGATGGATTCTAGGTTGGCTTTCATGTTCTACACGTATTCGATGGTAGGTTTGTTTACTAACTTTTAATGACATGAAATTTGTTTCTGAACCTGATACCTTTAGATGTCATGCTTTGTTTCTATCCAACAAGCTGTTGTGTTGCACATATTTGGAGATGGCTACATGGATATCTTTTTTCCTGTCACTGAGCTCTGTTTTAGGATGTGCTTTTTCTTAATGGTAAAATACGTGGTAGGACTAAAACTGGACTGCTGCATTTCAATATATTGCTTTGATATGGAACTTTATTCATGAATATCTTACAGGTCGTGAACTCTCTAAAATCTCTGAGATTCAAATACTGATTAATGTAAGTTATATAATCAGGATTTACGAAGGTGGCAATTAAGCAAAGGTCCAGTTTGAATGTTCAACACACGAAAAAGTCAGCTGGATATATTATAATCATGCATCACCATCCTATCTGTGATTAGTGGTTCTTGTGTTTTGTCAATATGCTATGATGTATTATCTGGTGCTTTTGCTAAGCTCTAATCATTTGTTAATTATTACCTGTCCATTTCTGAATTTACCATACATCTATGATTATGAAATAGATCTACTATTCAGATAAATTGATTATCTCAGAGGTCACTGGCAGTGTTAGTGGTACCTGGTATCCACCCTATTAAACATGTTGGATATGTCTCAGTTTGTTGGATGCTTATGATATTATTTGATCATATATTATAATATTAAAGGAGAGAAAGCGGACCTTTTTGTTTTTTTAACATTATTATGCATCCATCTTTGAAGTTTATTATCATGACAATGAAATATAAGTATCGTGCAATGCATTTTAAAAAATAAAGTTCCATATGCCTTGCAATTTCTTTTTTGTCTTCTTTCATACTGGAAGCTTGGATATGAATCCTATTTAATTCTTTTGTCCACATCTGTGCGACAGTTCTGTGTGGTGGCACCTATATGCACCTTCGGTAATTGGTGGATCTGTATTAATGATCGATCTTCACTGTACTAAAGTTACCTACTTTGTGTTTCTATAACGTTGATTCAGTCACTAGTGCTTTATCTATTTGCCTTTTCATTTCTTTCTTTCCGAAAGGAATGCCTTCATGGTGCTTCTTGATTCAGTTGCTTTTCTTTTATTAGTATCGTCTATGTTCTACTTGATTTAAGACACTTGGACGCAAGTGCTGCTTTTTCCAAGTATTCCATTGTTGACTTTTACCATTGTGATTGGCTTGTTATTAATATATATATAATTTCTTTTGAAATTGTTTGCTTGATTTTATTAGCTTTTATCTTTTTTTATCGTGCATTTATCTATTGCATACTGAAAATTTTCTTTTACCAATTGCTAGGATAATTTTTATGCATGAGATTACATTATGACTAGTTGTCAGTGCTTATGAACAATCTGATCACATCTTAATTCACTTTCAGACTGCAGCAAAGCGATGAAACACCAATGGTATGGGAGATGTTGCTTTACCTTTATGTTCTTTACTCACCGGACTGGCACTATAGGAGCACTATGCCTACTTTTCTTTTCCTCTATGGTGCTGCCTTCGCTGTTGCTCATTCATTGGTGCGTTTTGGAATAGGATTCAAGATACACTATGTTGGCCTTTGTCTTCTATGTATCCCGCGGATGTACAAGTATTACATACAAACAAAAGATGCGTCTGCTAAACGGCTAGCCAAGCTCTATGTTGCGACAATATTTCTCGGGACTATATGCTGGTTGCTCGACCGGATGTTCTGCAAGAAATTATCACACTGGTATATTAATCCGCAGGGTCATGCGTGGTGGCATGTGCTTATGGGATTCAACTCATACTTTGCGAATGCATTTTTGATGTTCTGTCGGGCACAGCAGCTGGGTTGGGAACCGCAAGTTGTTCACCTCTTTGGTGTATTCCCATATGTGAAGATTCATAAGCCCAAAAAGCAGGAGTGAGAAAGAAGCAGTCGGGCAAGTGTTCCATGCTGGTTTCTTTCTGCAATCTTTGGAACAGATGTTTTGTTTAGCGTGCAAACAGGCGGTGGCACTCTGGAAATGAACGTTAGTGACATGGGCTTATTGATGTTTTACATTTCATCGACTGGCGCTTGCTATGTACTGTTCCTAAATCTACAATCTGTGCTTAGAATAGGTTGAATCATGAACAGTATTTTTTTCTTTTTCTTGCTTGATATGTTTTTTTTTTTTAGGGTTACACAAGATGATTGAATTGGAGACTGACCCAACCGGTTAATTGGGTCTATAATTAACTAGTGAATTTAATCTTACATCCAGAGCAAGCAATGATATACGTATGCATGTTAGTTGCTATATCTTTAATGTTACTAAGTGTGTGGGATCTTGTCGAACATGAAAGATGCGATCATGTAAATAAATATTCTTGAGAATGCATACGTATGTGAATGCACGATTGGACAATACTCGGAAGTGATAAATTGACCTTTGGGCTATGGATTCCACTTGCAGAAGATTGTGTTGACTTTGAGGCCCAACCAAACCCAGAAGGAGCCTAAGTCAACCAACCCAAAACGTCCCCCGTGAACAAAGTGAAAAGGTGAAAAGATGATACTTAGAAAACACACACACACAAAAAAAAGGAGAAATCAGGGAGATGGAAACGAAGATTGTTTGAATGTGATTGGTCAAATCCCCTAACATTATCTTCTCCTATCTGTTCCCCCCATATAAAACCCTCGATAACCCAATTTTTATGAGAGGGTGGCTTCCAAGTACCTCATCTTCCTCCTCTTCCCCTCGCTCGTGTTGGCTTCGGGGATCTGCGCCTCCTTTCCGCCATGAGAACCGCCACGCATCACCCTCTCATCACCGCCCCTTGCAACCTGTGGCCTCGACCAAGGCCGACCTCGGCTCCTGTGCTCCCCTCTGGATCTAGACGCCCCAGGAGAGGGGCCTTGGTCGTCAGAGCTGCGGTGGTTGTGGAGCAGGAGGTCAAGACCAAGATCTCCCTTGTGAGAATTGGCACCAGGGGCAGGTAGACCATTTGATTTCCTCTTCCCCCCACCCTTCCTTTTCTGGCTCAGTCTCTAATTTTTCTGTATCAAGATTCTGTTGGTGTGCGGTCGTTGACTCGGGCCTTTAGCTTTTCTTCTTAAAAATTGTATCTTTTCGCCTCCCCCCCGCTTGGAGATCGCTTCAATTGGACGCTAATGAGGTCGCTGGTTTTCCTTAAGACCTCCCTCTGAATTAATTGGTTTTTCACATTTGAGGTTCCTCGCTGTTTTGGTCGTGTGCTGTGAAGGTCCCAATTCGATTCTTTAATTTCTTAGGTTTAGTTCCTCCTACATATATCAGTTTTGGAATTATATTTCTGGGGTTTCCTTTTGACTCAACCGTGATTCACTTCATTTAGTACCCGTTCGATGCTGGTGGTGTTGTTGATATCTCCTCTGGTCTCATTGGCACAATGTCAGATGTTCTGCTCTCTTAGATGTTTACATTATGACTTGGTCTTCATTCGTGTTCTGACCTTGTAATTTTTCTCCGACTTAATTCTTGTTTTGCGCATCATGTTGTGATTATATCTACGCTTGAATTATCAATTTAGTTGTTTTAGCAGCTTTGAGTATTATTCTTTTCCTTGAGGCTGTGCATTTACTATCACACGTCGTGGGCATGTAGGACAGTCCACTAGCACTTGCGCAGGCCTATGAGACCCGGGATAAGCTCATGGCATCACATTCAGAGCTAGCCGAGGAAGGAGCCATTGACATAGTAATTATCAAGACAACAGGCGACAAAATACTCAATCAACCACTTGCTGACATTGGTGGCAAGGGTTTATTCACAAAAGAGATAGATGAGGCCCTCTTGGAAGGTAGCATCGATATTGCAGTTCACTCGATGAAGGATGTGCCTACATATCTTCCGGATGGGACAATCTTGCCATGCAACCTTCCGCGAGAAGATGTAAGGGATGCATTCATTTGCTTGACTGCAAAGTCTCTTGCGGAGTTGCCTGCTGGAAGTGTTATTGGAACTGCTTCCCTTAGGAGACAATCTCAAATTCTATATAGATATCCATCATTAAAGGTAGATGTTGATCTTGATCTTTATATTTTTATATTACTTTATTACAAAGTTGCTTGTCCTAATTTCCCTAATCAGTTGTAGACCTCAGCTGATTATAAATAGTCAGCAGCATGTTTTTGTCGCTAACTTGTTATATGTTAAGCCATTTGACAAGGCAAAACATTATCTCTGTCTGAGTGCTTGAATTGTACATGTTTCTTGATTAATATTGACCTTTTTCTTGACATCTGCGGTTGAGCATTTACAAAGCTCATGCGCCATTGAAAATAGACGCATTCATGTCAATACATATATTCATGAAGTTGTACCTACTTTGCAGACATGCATATTTATACATCTATGTATTATATGTAAGCATTTTCATGTGTGCCTATTGTATACATGAATCTCCTATCTGTATACAATGTTGGTATGCATGCGCATTCACATGTCTGCATTGGAACACGGATATGTGAGTATATGTATGCATATATGCATACGAGTAGGTAATTAAGGTTTTCTTATGTATGCCTGTAAGCATGGATACTGGTATTTAATGACTCATCACTGCCTTCTTATCTAGATGTGCTTCTGGAAGTTTCTCATGACATATTTCTTTAGTATTTGTAATCACTTAATTATAGTGGATGTAAAACCAACAGTTAATCCCGAGGTTTTATTTTAGCAATGACACTATCATACTTTGTGAGAGTGACAAGATGCTTTTGTCTTGCTCTTGAAGTAGATCCGTAAATTACTAGATGTAATACACTTCAATTTGCCGACAGTTTCTACCTCAGGATTCGTGGTGGCCTACCTAGATGAATGATGCAGAATTAAATTTTAATGCAAAGAGACGAGAGTTTAGGATTGTTTGTTGCTGACCATTAAACAACTGTTACTGAGATTGAAAAGTCTATTGTGTGACCTTTTTGCACTGGGAAGACGTCTCAAACTAAATTGATTTTGTTATTTCAGTATGAATTTTATTTACATGTATATGGTTGTCCTATTGTCCATTAGTGTTTTTGGACAACCATGATAATGTGTTCTTGCATGTTTATATGTACTCCTGCTCAAGGATTTAAGCACCAGTTGAATTAATATATACCAACAAGTATTTACCAGTTCAACTAAGTACCAATATCAGAACATATAGCTCGACTTCTGTTTATTTTTTGTTATTCTATTCAATAGGCAATACGTATTGGTACACTGTCCACTATATCTGGTACCATATTGTTCCAATAGGTTACCAGAACCGGTATTATATCAATATTTAGTATTTTGCTCATGCTGACATCCAATCATGTCTATTTTAAGTTACTGTGCCTGATTATTAACATAATATGCTATCAAGGTTTGTTTAAGTAATTGAAGAGAGGGTTAAATCTAGAAAACTGTGCTTGTTTTCATGGAGATTTAATACTGACATAATGTTTTCAAATGTGAGGCATCTCAAAAATAGTATATGCTAATCCTGTCGATCTGTTGTAACTGCATTCAGTGCCTTTGAGGAACCCTATTTATCCAAATTCTCTCTCTCTCTCTCTCTCTCTCTCTCTCTCTCTCTCTCTTCTTTTCACCTTTCCGTTGACCGGTATAAGTATGTGACACATGTAGATAATTATATAGTTACTTTCAATTGCAGGTTGTTAACTTCAGGGGAAATGTCCAGACACGATTGAAGAAACTCAATGAAGGTGAAGTCCAAGCAACATTGTTAGCCTTGGCAGGGCTAAAACGGCTAAACATGACCGAAAATGTCACAGCTATACTCTCTATTGAAGAAATGCTTCCAGCAATTGCCCAAGGTGCTATTGGAATAGCTTGTAGAAGCAACGATGATACGATGGTCAGTGTATTACATATTCACTTGGATTTTTTTTTCATTTAAATGCAACTTCCGAGGCCTTGTATATTTAAGGATCATACTTTTGGACGTGTGATTTGACCTTGATGTACATAGTTAATGCTATTTTGGTGGATGATACTTCTTGACATATGATAACATAATCAGTCATCTTTCATGAAATTCTCACTGTAACGGAACTTCTCGAATAGGGAAATATTAAATAAATTAGTTTTACGAAATCATTTATGTACTTTTTGTCATAATAATTTGGCACTTATATAATATCACTACCCCTTGTCCCTTGGAAACTGCAATGATTATTCATCTTATAGTTTTTGACTAAAACGAAGTTCGTAAAACAGTTTCTTGCAAGCAAATGTGGGAATTTATCAGTTGTCCAGGTGTCAGTAAAACTATTTAAACAAATTTATGCCCAGTCATTTTTTTCCTATCAAATTAGATCAATCAATTATCTTGAAAACAAATATTGCTCTTTACAATTTTTTGTTTCCCTGTTTTTCTAGACATTTTCCAGGTTTAGGAAATCTTGGGATCATTCTTGTTAGCATGAACTTAGTCTGTGTGACTATCAAGGTAGACGTTTTTACCAAACAGTCTAGTTTTATACTTTACTGCAACTCCTTGACTTGTCTAAGTTTTGCCTTCATGAGGAATTTGAGGGTTGCAGTAGGAAAATATGTGGTCAATTTTTTTTCTCGAATGGTCTGGATAACTTTTTTTGATCAACAGGCTTTATCGCTGGTCATTTATTGAGTGGGAAAGCTTTTGATGGTAATTATATTTTCTTTCCTTGGTCTTGCATTATTTTCTGGCTCATGGTTGAATGGAAGGATAAGGCACACTACATGGTTGAGAAGTTTTCATCTTGCAAATACAATATTCAGTATATCGAATTAAGACTTAGCCACGGTTCTTGTTCGTGAGATGGTCATTATCGTGCAAGTAATTGCATATCATATATTGAAGCTTTATATACAATTTATGTTGTCATGTTACCTAGGTTGCCCTATGTGGTGATGCATTGATGTCAATAATAAACTTAGATTGCTTGTTCATGTAATTTTAGGAACTTTTTAATTAGTCTAAATCTTCATACTATTGTCAAATATCTATTTTGCAATACAAAGGCTTAACAAAAATACTCTTAACATCTTTTACTTCCATAGCAACTTGGTCTTTGTTGTTACTTTTCTGCTTAATTTAGATTGCGGGTCCTGACAGCCAGTTAACTTTGTGAACCAGGCTAATTACATAGCTTCACTAAATCATGATGATACTCGGTTAGCTGTTGCTTGTGAAAGGGCATTTCTTGAGACCCTGGATGGGTCTTGTCGTACACCAATTGCTGGGTATGCATATCGTGATAGTGACGGAAATTGTGTTTTAAGATGTTTGGTTGCTTCTCCAGATGGAACCAGGGGTAAATTGACATCTTTAATGTTAAAAGATGTATCTGTTTTGTTCATTTTTGAACTCGTCTTAATTGTTTTTCTTTTCTGTTTCTAATATTTCAGTACTGGAGACATCAAGAAAAGGCTTGTATGCTCTCGATGATATGGTTGCAATGGGAAAGGATGCAGGGAAGGAGTTACTTTCAAAGGCTGGCCCAAGTTTCTTTGATTGGTAATCTCTAATCAGATTGCCAACAAAAGTTAACAAGAGCAAATTAGGAAGGGAACTTAGAGCTTTGGCATTGTTTTATGCTTTCTTCTTTCTTTGTCATTTATTCAGAGTTTGTCTGCAGAGGCTGTACTCCAACTTTTGTATCATTGTAGTTGTATTCATTTGGACCTTCTCATTAAGTTGAATTAACTTGACATCACAAGCCACTGCCCAATTGTTAAAAAAGTTGAGGGCTTTTGTAGGAGTGATTTACCTGCATTGCTCATAATATTAAATAAGTGCTGAGTTCTGTTTTAAACTTGAGATTGGCCATGTGTGTCCAATATATACTTTTGGATGGCCAGCTGACTTTGTCTGTCGACAAACTGAGAGTCTATCATCTAACTCAAATCTTTTTTGTATGAGCTAAAAAGAGGCAAGCATGTGTTGTCATGCCATTATCACTTTTAACTTTTAGAGCTATATGCTTGCAGGTGTTTGGTCTGCAATTCTGTATTATGGACAGCCGGTGGAGCTCAACAGAGGTTGTATTGAAGTCCTCGTCATATTGAGCTGATGCTAATCTGAATTAGCAAATTTCAGGTGTCCTAAAATTGTAGCAATTAAACTTTAGTTTTCGGACATGCATGGATTTCAGCAGAGTGCAGCTTTCATCAGCAAAATGGGTGAGCAAACTGCAGCTCTGCTTTGGAAGGTGAAGAAGCATTAGCAGAAATCATGGAAGTACATAGATGCACACAGATGACCCTTTCTCCTTTCCAAGTTCTCCTTTGGCAAATGCATACAGGATTCCAAGGCCTGTTTATTTCAGTGTTCTTCCATGAGTTCTATTAGGGCTGGTCATACAGGTAAGTTTCTTCCTCATCCTTGTCAAACCTGAAGCATGTGTTGACCTGTACAACTTGCAGAGCAGGAAGATGAATGCAGACCAAGAAGACCAGCGTTTCAAGTTTTCAAGTTCATCTAACAAAGATATGAGAGCTCGCAACATTTGGAGCAAAACAGATACTCCGCAGCAGAAAATAGAAAACTGGCTGTGATCGACTTCGTGGAGGTCTGCATGACATGACAACTCTAGAGCAGAAACAGTAGCTCCTCCGCCAGAGCTACCTTGGAAGCTCTGCAAAGTGCATCATGGTCGGTGGCTTCCACAATCTGCCTGTTGCTCTTCTTGATCTTGGATGAAGAAACAACGTAGTCGTAAAGAATGTTACCTGAATCAGATATTACGATGCATGAACGCCGAGGGTGAATGCGCCGCAGCTGGTTGTCCAGCTCGCTGAAGCTGTTGCAGGGACGATGGATTGGAAGCACTCCAGTACGTGTTCTCTCTCCCCATCAATTCCGCAGGCAACTCGGTGTACCAGTGATCCGATGCCGGCATTCTTCCCGGGTTTTCCTCACCATTCGCGAATCCTGAACTGCTCGAATAAAATGGAGCTGACATGACCCCTCTCCCTCCCGGCTCGTGGAGCAGCATTCCGGTGTTTGGGGGCTCTGATCTCAGCATGGGGGCGGAAGCTTCCATGGCACTCGCAGGAACAGCAGCATCTCCGAAATCGAAGCTGCTCGGGTAGCAGGGAGAGGACATGGTGCCTCCGCCTACCACCTCATGAAGCATTCCGCCGAATGGATTCTCTGATGCTTGCATGCCTGCCGAGTTGCCCATCACGTGAGCGGGAGCGAGGTCTGTGAAGATCCCCCCGCCATGGGTGATCATGTTCTCAGGATTTTGAGCGCATGGCTGATAGTTTGCTGCTGAAGCTGAAGCAAATTGTGTTACATGTGGTGGTGGAATTCCTCCTGCAACAATAAAGAGAAGGAGGCTTCACAAGATGAGAACTACACAAGAAGTAATCAGTACCAAAAGATGGAGAAGAGAAGAAAGACAAATAAACAAAGAAACAGAAGCAATCAGGAGGCAAAAGAATCCCAGAAATCAGACTCTATTATAGCAATCCTGAAGATGTGTACAGCTTAGTAAGAAGCTGTATCTGTCTCTTCTTATATTGCTAACCTTCATATCCATCTATCCTAAAGTATCCATGTTACTTGTTCATACGTTTAACTTATGTAGATCTCAGCTACATACTATGTTTGAGTTTTCATGTAATTCCAAACCTATCAATTAGATTTGCTGTGACTTTGTGCTCCTGTGTGCAAACTCAGTGAGTTCTTACCAAGTGCAGTTTCACATAGTACATGTTCTCTGTTTTCTGTCTCTTCTTATATTGCTAACCTTCATTGTTCCTAAACCATCTAAATGAAATGAAGCACAACAAAAGCAATGTAAACAAGATAGTAGTAGTAGGAGGAGGAAGAGTTTTAACATGTCTAATAGGAAGGCAGAAATTTACCTGCACCTTCAGATCCCTGACATGAATATCCAGATGATATATTAGCATCTAAGAACTGCTTGCTATAGTGTTGCCCAACCAACTCAGGATTGAAAGATGCATCAAGCATGTTTCCTGTGAATGAGGGTCTTCCCATGAGATTGCCCTCAGGAAATCCAGAACCCAAGTTGTTCATATAACTATTATCTGATACCCTTGCTGTCCCTGTCAACTCCTCAAGAGCTATAGCTCTTGTATCTCCTGTTATTATTCCTTTCGGCACCCTTGCAGTGGGAACCGAAGCACACCGGCCAACATGTGTGCTCACAAGTGCAGGGAACTCATCATGTATCATGGGACTCTGTTGATTGTTCGTTCCCACCATATAGCTTGTCCCTGCGGAGTTTGATCCATGTCTCATTGTATTCTCTGGTTGAGATTGCACTGAAACAACGACAAATTCTACTTTTAGAGACTCGTATCGATCTGCGATCGTGTATTACGATCGATATATCATGAAACGAGAGGGTTAACGAGGAACAATGCCCTCTCTTACAAAATAGGCATGCATTGAAATAGGAGGAAGAAGCATACATGTGGATGAAGCAGCTGCAGATTGAAATCTTTCATGCGTCAGTCTGACTTGCTTCTCAAGAACATACTTGTAGCACAGAATTTGTTTCTTGAGCATCGTTTTAGCATAGTATTGCTGGAAGAACTCAGAGTTGTCCTGCACAAGCTTTTCCCAAACTGGTAGACATTGCAAAGGCATAGGATATCAGATAGATAGAGAGGGAGAGAGGAACATGTCATTGCTTGTCATTGACTTCAATTAGAATAGATATAGAGAAGAACGTAGCAAGTGATATGAAATCTAAAAAATCCAGGACAGAGAACCCAAAGAAAATATGGTGAATTGCATAGAATGGACTGAAACATCAGACAAATGTTGAGGAAGAAGAACGTAATGAACTAAAAATTAGCACGTAAGAGGAATGGATGGATGTGAGTGCAAAAGATGTTTTGCTGGATTAAGTACCAGTCTCAGTGATTCCACGGTCGACTCCTTTCCTTGTACAGAGATCATTCAACACTTCTTCCTTGTTCATATACTGCATGAGGCACTCCTCGATCAAAACTTTTACCTGAAATTGAAATGTTAAGCATGAAAAAAGCAGCTAAAAAATGAGGAAACATAATCTCCAATGTGAATATGCCAGAACTGCATGCTCATGTTCTTAAAATGAATCTGTAAACTGTTTAGCATTTCTACTTCCTTTTGTTGTATCTTGTTAAATTATGTAGGTTAATAGATCAAATATTTCCCCCAAATACATTCATAGAATGTATGTAGACTGCTTCTTCGTCATGATCCATGTGGATTTAACAATGCAGAAATCAAGCTCTTTTATGCCACCAAAAAAAAAACAAATTAGTGAAAAGAGAAAAAAAATATATATATATACATATAAAGACGAGAAAAGAAAAGAAAATAGACAGCCTTACTTGATCAATTACTCTGCATGCTTCTCTCTTTTGAGCAATGACTTCTTCTCCGTCTTCTTCCCTAGTCACCGGTTTCTCTTCTTCGGGGTCTGTCCGTTCTCCTGGACGACGTTTACGTGTTCCCACCATCGTGAAGATTACCACCAACGTTAATTCATGGAGATTTCCTCATCCATTGGATGTCAGATGTAATCAACCTGAACATAAATTCGCGGAATTGTCAAAAACATGCTACAGAAAATAACCATGCATGCATGCATTCCTTCTCAACAATCCCATCAAATATCAAGAAGCAGGAAGAAGCCATACTGCAATGCCTCACATGATATCTGTCATCAAGAGCCTCCCTCCAAGATCATGTCAGACTGCTCGACTAATACTGAGAGAGAGAGAGAGAGAGAGAGAGAGAGAGAGAGAGAGAGAGAGAGAGAGAG